TTGAGGTCGTTTTTCCCGCTTTTGTTTACAGGATCTAAAGTCAGTGTTCGGAAGTACTTTAAGTGCACCGTACTTAAAGTGCTACTATAAGTAGGTTTTGAAAATGTGTACTTTACTTCAGATACATTCTCTGAGAATGTACTTGTACTTTACATAACGCATTTTTTTTTTCTGGTAATTTCCGAGGAAAGTACAACATCCCGACTTCAAAGTAAATTTCCCCAATCGGGTCTCCGTGACATTTAGCTCTTTCAGAAACCACGCGCTCGTGTCCTTGGCCTTCCCAGTAATATTCCCAACTTCTGAGGTCGAGTACAAGAATTCACCATCTTTTAATAAACAAATGTCGTATAGTCTTGTGAAAGTGTTTCAAGACGTCATCCGGTCATTTTTATTTTAGTGAAATAATGGCGGCTTTAAGACCGATACAAATAATTCTCTTTTACGTTGATTGTGCTGAATAACTCATAAGCGAGAGTAAAACAACGACTCTGTGGCCACTTGACTGCATTCAAAATTCACCGCCATTTATTAAAATAACTGATGCACCCCCATTACCGCTGGGACAATGCATATCAGTAGAACCCTGCATATCCGCAGATATCCAAGTAAACTGGCGGATGCCGCGAAAATGAATCAGATTTGGCGGATTGCGGATCAGATACGGAATCCAAAGGCTGCGGATGCGGATCGGATGCGGATCGGATGCGGTAATCCGTGTGTCCGGATGTACAACATTTGCCGAGGCGGCCCGTAAACGTGTGCCGCACACTGTACAGTAAACTAGTGAGTGATACTATGAAGTGCATCATCAAATGTATTGAGGGAGAAAACTACTCTCTTAGACAAAGAATGCCAATCGAGGAGAAAATGGTACTTCACGTCAAGAAAGATTTGATTCTCACCAAAGATTGCTTTAGAGCGTTCTATCTTGCCAAAAATGTCTTTAAAAAAAGTGAAGAATGCAGGAGAATCAGTCGTCCCGGGAAAGCGTGTTCTTGTTTGGCAGGGAAAGAGCAGAAAACGTTCTTTGGGCAAAGAAAACCCAAAACGTACAAGCCACAAGAAAGTAGAAGAAACCTGCAAGTGGCTTCTTTGCAGTAGATCGAGGACACTGAATTCAACCCTTTGGAGTGGTGTAACTTGAGCCAGTACGAGCTTTCCCAACTCATTCTTGCAGCGCAGTTCGTGCATGCCACCCCAGCATCAAGTGCACCTACGGAGAGAGACTTCTCAAGTTTTGCACGTACCAGACATAAAAACAGTCGGACAAGGCATAAATGGTTCGTGAAGTGGCATGATAAGCGGTATAGTAAACCCATCATTCGGACAGAAGAGGCAACAATCTTTGAAACATGATAAGAAAAGGAAAGTCTAGTGTCAAAGTAGATCCCAAGGTCGCGAACCTCGGTGACTGGTGGGATGGTAGATGATTTAAGAACGTAAGAGTAAGATAATATATCGCGTTTATGGAGACATTGATCAGATTTTTGTTTTGTCATTGTTAAGCACCAACAAGTTTGCGGAGTGCCACTCAGATATGCGCAAAAAATGTCATCTTGAAATACACCGCAATCGTCAAATGATCTTATATTCGTGAGTATCTTGATTTCGTCAGCAAACAAAAGCAAGTGACTTTTTTTATGCACTTTTTAATGTCGTTGGTGATTGCGAGGAACAGTAGGGGCCCGAGGTTAGATCCTTGGAGGACCCCAGAAGTCGGGATAAAAGTGTCGGAATAGCTATTCGCAATTCTCACACTGCTACGACGATCAGTTAAGTAAGTCTTAAACCAGTTCAAAAGGGTCGGCGATACTCCATACAATTAGAGCTTTAGCAATAGTAAATCATGATTAACTTTGTCGAAGGCTTTTGTCATATCAAAATAAACAGTATCGACCTGGCCTCGAGAAAGAACTATAGGAACTGAGTAACCAAGAAATGAACTAGTTTACTTTCCACGGAGCGTCCCTTTAAAAGACCATGTTGAGCCCTACTAAATTTCCGTCTAAAATAATACGAAACACGAGTGTAGATGACCATCTCAAATACCTTCGAAGAGGCGCACAGCAAAGTCGCAATATTGGTCGGTAGTTATTTACGTTAGAAACATCACCACTTTTCTGCACTGGTATGACAACAGGCATTTTCCACGATGATGGAAAAACACCACTTTTTAACGAGAGGTTAAATATGTGATTTAATTTGTACACTGGGCTGAGATTGTAATTTCCAGATTGCGGAACCAGGGGGAACGACGTTACGACGTTGACGGTGTTATGGAAATCTCGGAAACTGCGTCCGCGTGTCAACAACATAGCAGCAACATCGTGATTGCAAGCAGTGCCCTGAGCTGTGAAGGAAGACTGGAATTGTCGCCGATGTTACCGAGCACCATGTGTTCGCGTATCTGGTGTAAGAGAAAGATGAGATCACGTAAACTGTCGGGCATTGATGCCGCTGGTCGGGCCGTGATCCCATATGGTGGGTTGTCGTAGGTTGGCATTTTGCTCTACATTAAAGAGCACGTCTGCACGCCTTGAGTGACTACGGTGCAATCGATCGACTTGTAGATAGTCATGTGGAACGCTGTTCTGAAGCGTAGCTCCAATTGTAAGGCCAATGTGAGTGTCGTCTGCGATGTCTTCTTCCCTCCCTCAGAGCGATAGCGCTCTGGGGGAAGGACTGAGCAGTCTTAAACTCAGCAAAAAAAAAAAAGTAAAAGAAAAGCTATCTTTTGTTTTGATGTTTAAATATTCTACAGTTCCTGACCAAAACTTTCCTCTATAGTGGCACACTGAGATTAGCGCTAGAAACTTTCGAGCTCACCACCGTGTTGCTCCGTACACCTAACGCTCGCCACAAGTCGCGGCTTTGACTGCGCTAATGTTGGTCGAAATGCAAATTCTGTGCCCGTAAAGCATCGCTTCCAATTGAGTCAATGCCGCCTCTACAGAGATTAATAAACCTTTCGCTAAAAAACCCAACCATCAAAGAGAATGCTAGGAGCATGGGTACACGGGCTGCACGCTCTCGCCTTCCTTATATAAGAGATTCGAAGTAAATAACCAAAATAAAGCGTTTGATGAACACGCCTGCGAACTGCCATTTGTTTTAGATTTCTGCTGCCGAACAGTTACAGCTGCAGACGCCAGCACCCGCAGCACGTGTACCTACGTTCCCGGCATTCTCTTCGGCGCTCGGGTAATTCGGCAAAAGGTATATTCAAGACGACAACTCCAGCCGCACGGGAGCAGCGAAAATATAAAAACAAATAATTAGATATACAAACTGGGATCCATTGGCGCCATTCTACGACTGCCATGCGGGGAAGCAAACGCATGGCTTGGAACTGCAGTGGAGCGGCTTGTTTTATTGGCTTTCGAATAATCACGACATGAGCGTTTACTTTTTACTAAGATATTCATCTCCTGAGCCATTTAATATACTTTCGGAGGTATGACACTTCTGAGGAAAAATCAACACGCTGGGGAAAATATTTAGCGCTTAAGTGGTCATCGAGCAAATTCGTACTACCAAAACGACCAGTACAGCAGGCGGAAGCGTACTGTAGCAAGTCAGTGAAGGGGGTATTGTGTGCGGTCATGTTGATGTTTGTATGTGTTGTGCTTATGAATGTTATTTCTCTATGTGAACTGTGCTGTATCATATGTAGTGGCATGCGAAGTGTAGGCGTGTGTATGATTTAGACGTGTAAATCGCGACAGAAGAGCAAAACATTTATTTCTGGCTGTTGAATTGGATTTTATCTATCGCCACCTAGCCTAGACATTTGCAATTACTCTGCCGGTCCCTGCATTCTGGTGGATACCGATTTAACCTTCTTTCATGTTTCGAATATTTTTTTAGGCAGTGCAATGAGCCAAGTACGTGTTGCTTTAAATTTACTCTTTAGGGAACGACTTTTAGTTTCACGAATGGCTACCATTCCTCTCTGACGTGCGGTGCTAAATAATGAAATGTGTTGAGGGGATGTGGAAAGGTTAGACCTTTTGTGTGTGCAATTGCCGGGTTGGGGTTGTCTCGGTTTAACATCGCAGTATTAAAAACGAAACGACTGAATGCCAGCGTTCGATACACATTTCCTTATCGGCGCAGGAAGCAGGCTTCGGCAGCAAATATTGGTCGTTAGCAGCTTGTGTTGCGTTTTCATTTTCTAGAGCTCTCACTCCGAAAGTAGAGACTTGGTTGGATGTGCGAGAAGCGGTTGAACACGTTTCTTGCGATAGCTGCTTAGCAAGCCTTGGGGGCGGCGGTTGCGCGAGGTAGTTGCCTATCCGAAGACTAGGTTGGCTCGTTTCGGTTAAATCGCGGCACTGTTGCGCGTAAAGAACTCCGCTATGCGTATTGTCCTGGCGTCCTCGTTAAGCCTTACTGAGCTTGATTCACTCGATTCGGAGCCGCAATATTGCTACGCGGGCGAGGGAGGAACGTTGCTCCCGCTTGCAGGGACGAGCGTTGCTCGTTTCTAAAGAAACATGAGACAAGATCGTTCTTCTCTTTATGAAGGAATATATATACCTTTTGTTTTTAAGACTGTACGGCCCATTGCAATATACAGCCCCTTTTCTATGTACCGTACTTCAGTTTTTTAAGACAATGGTTTATCAGTCGAATTTTATGAGAAGACCATCATGAAACACCGTCGCGTCACTTGCCCCCTAAATTTAGCGGTGAAATTATTCTCCCGTGATGTTAACTTTCCCGATAACTTTAGCGAGTCACGTGATGTCAACCGACTTCATGTCACGCGGCTTCGATTTCCCCTGTAAATTTGACGTGGAAAGTGATACCACCTGAAGTCAATTTCTCTTCTAACTTTAGTGATGAAATTAAAGCGACGACCACGTCATATTACCTCAAGTCAAGTGACATCAATTTTTGTGGGTGATAGTTTGCGCTGAACACGTTTTGGTGCTCCCTACAGTCCTTCTCAGCACGATCAAGCTTACTTCAATTTTTGTTTCTCCGTTCCGTAGGGGTTCGTCTCGCGCCGGCAGCTGGAGATCCTTCCTGGGCTACTCCCTGTACGCCTGGCTGGGCCCAGTGTTGCTGGTCGCGTCCGCCTCGCTGCTTGACCACCTGCTCCCACAGTCCCCTTTGAGCCCCGCGTACGGACGGCCCTCGTGCTGGCTCAACAGACCGCTCAGCCTGGCGGCCTTCTTCGGGGCGCCAGTGTTGCTGCTCCTGCTCACCAACCTGGTGCTCTTCGCACTCACGGCGCACAGCATACAGAGAACCGAGCAACAGGTGAGAACCGATTTAGCTCTGGAAAATACGTTTCTTTGCTCAGGTCCTGAAAAGGGGAGTAACGTCGTGAATGAAATGTTATCACTTACGTGTGTGACGTCACAAACAAAGCAAACAATATGTTGTTGTTATTTTTTGTTGTTTTTTTTGCTATAATTAGCAGGAAGGATTTTTTTTTTTTTTTTACTTTTAGCGGTTAATTTTGCTGCTGAATTTGACAAGTGTCGTTGTGTTGCAGTCGCGCGTTACGAAATCGATGAAGTTTCACCACAATGCCTACTGCTTTTTTCCACACTTGGTTGTTCCAACGAACTCCTCATCAGATAGTATAACAGTCCCGCTGCTTTGCATGTGCGCCAGTATGGCATCACACGGGACAAACGCCGCGACAGCGCTCTGCAAGCTTTTTTCAAGTCGCTCATTGCGTGGCCTCTACTTCATTCGTGACGGCACCCTGTACCAAAAAAAAATGTTATGACTGACAGTGCTCCTCGGCTTATAGCAGTTCCCAAGCACTTTCAGACCACAGTGCTCACCGAGCTTTATGACTCGTCATACTCTTGCCATTCGGGCGTCATTCGCACATACGCCGTCGGGAAACAAGAACGGTTCTTCTGAGAAAATATGTACTGTACTATGAAGCAGCACGTGGCTTCCTGCGACTCCTGGCAATGTCAGAAAATGCCGTCCGCAACATCAGCAGGAAGGTAATTGCTGGGTCGCGGTAGCAGTTTATCATAATCATCGCTACGCGATTACAAGGCCACTTCTGATTGGGACAGTTGTCGACGTCACCCATTTGATGCTACTCGAAGTCATTCTGAAGCATGCTACACCAAGAGAACTCCTTTTCGGCCATGGTCGTCCTTTCTTTTCAAAACCCCTTGGTAAAATTTTACGCCTCTGCGTCGTAATCCGCAAGCGTACAACGGCGTACCGCCCGCAAACCAACTAGATGGTATAGAACGCAACAACAGTACGCAGTCTAATATGATTTGTATGTACATGTTACCTGACCACCGTTTTCGGAATGCTGTTCTTCCATATGTTAGGGAGTATATCGTTTTCAGTTTCCGCTCCTCTCCGAGCCTGCCCAACTGCGCAGCCGGCAACGCACAGCGGCCGCGCATGCGCAGTCCCGATTGTGCCGCTCCCTATGAGCGGAACGGGCGCACGAACGCGGTCTACTAAAACTCGCTACTACCTTTGTTTTCAACCGTTCGCGCCACGACACAACCGGTTGTTCCCCTTTTGACTATCTCGTAGGCCGTGAACCGTCCCTCATGATTGACTCTCTTCTGTCATTGTAACACCAGTCAACGTTTACGGACTGCGCGTCTGAAACAACATGTCGTGCTGAAGAACTGCGGCAACTGGCACTCTTCCGAACGCTCGACTCGCAAGACCTCCCATGTGTTCACTATGAGCAAATTCGCCACGACGCCATCTCCTGCTCCCCTGGAGACTACGCACCTTTTTAAGAAACACTCAGTCCATGGGACAAGATAATCTTTTTATAGCCCACTCACTGCGTTTGCGGCTAGTTTCTCGCCAGCGCTCCTAGTAACACTGATCGAGTGGCCTGTGTATTTCGATAGGTGACATTTCAGATATTGCTTGTGGCCAAATTCTCGCTTTTTCCCACAGTCTTTCTTCTTATTTTGAGGAAGGGTGGGAGGGGGGTTATATCATATATACTTTCCCGAGGACATTCACAAAGCATTGTACCGCATTTAAACAAAAAAAGTAAAGTAATATTTTGGGGTGTAGCGAGGCGCTACGTACGCAGCATATCAATTGCGACTGAAATTTAACGTCCCCGCCTTTTCAGCAATGTTAATCCGCAAAAGCGCTTAGAGGAAACCCGAAAGGCATGCATTTTTCACGCGCCTAAATGAAGTGATTGCCGATCTACACGACAGGACTCGGACACGAAATTTACAAATATCAACGTTCCAACAATATATTGTCCGTGCCACACGGTGCAGCGCTATGCAAGACAGAATCTATTTTTTTTTTTTTTTTAAGATATGAAATAACGCAGAACAGCAATGTCGACGATAGTTATATCTCGACGATTGGATGGAATCGAAGAGGACTTTTTGGTGCACGTTTGGGGAGATGTTCCATTTATTCACAACACCAAAGCAAAGTACGGACGCCACTAGTTCATTCCCCACAGCAACCTGAACAACTCGTTTTGCGATGACCGAGAAAGGCTGTACGCATAAACAACAAGCTTCGAGAACTGAGTTCTTTTGTCGAGTCCAGAGTCACTATATGGGTTCCCAGAGTATAAAAAGCTCCCAGATCAATGGCGCCAAAATGACAGCTCAATATATTTTTTTTTTCCTTTTTAACTTTAGTCGCTATGAGAACCATTGAGACGGCCTTGTCAGAAGTTCCGACCTACTATTTAGGCTCAAAAGTTCTGGAAACGTTTCTTGTCTATGTCAGCGCCTAAAAAGCATGTTTCTGCAAAAAAAAAAAAAAAAAACGAAAAATCTTTTTTTTGTAGGAACTTTTAATGGAGATTGCTACAGAATCAGAAGAGCGTGATGTTTTCATAAAATTTTAGTTTAAAAAGTTTTGTGGCACAATTAATGTTGTTTGGATGCAACCATGTATAACCGCTGATTTCTGGTAGCACGTCCCCACCTGGGTGGTTGCTAACTTCGGCGATAATTCACATCGCGTCTGATAGGGAGTGAGGGGTTGGTAACCCCTAGCACCGTACATGTTTCGGCGCCAAAATGGCCGTTCGAAGCTAAAATTCAAGAGTGACAGCGGACGCTATCGAAAGCGTTACTCAGGCAAACTACAGTGACTCTAGTCGAGTCTTCGCCCAGCACCGCTTTCAAACTGACCAAAACCTCGCTCGACCCGTCAGCTCATGATGGTCGAATAGCGGACAGTAACCATTTTCAAATTTTTCGAAAGACCGCATGACCCCTCGCGGTGGTGGAGTTATGCTCAGAACTCCAAAAAACTTACCCTGCAGGCGTTGACGCGACCTCGTACAGGACGCTTCAGGGGCCGTGTTCATTTAAATTAGAAGCGGCAACTATACTCTGCCACTGGTTGGCGTTCATGCGTCTATGCCCCTCCTAGATTTCAGGCATCCTCCTTCGAGGTTCTGCTAGTATTCATCCGCAACATACAACGATCACGATATACAAGCATCGATCTGACGGGTGATTTTAACACGCACATAGACCGGACAGACATGACGTCACCAATCCCCTGTCACCCACTCTGGCAGAGCCTCTTTGACCTCACTGAATCATTCAGCTTCACCCAGCGCTGCTCGGATCCCACATGTACGTCCTCCTCATCACGAAAATTCACCTGGACCTACTCATCACCACTAATCCTTCCTTACTACCGGACGGCACTATCAAACATCCGACCGAACCTCACCTACAACAACCTGTCCATCACCGACCCAACTTCACTAGACCTATTAGCGGCGAGATGTTTTGGTGGCGCCCTCCTATGGTTCCCCCTTGTGACGTCATTACCTTGCGAACAACAAGTTCGATGGTGTTTGTAAATAGCATGGTGGAAGCCTGAAATCATTGCGCTCTGAAAGAAACACTGCCAACACCGTCAAAATTAAAGTTCTTTTGTTCCTCTTATTTCTGTCGATGCTATACCCTTTCCGACGTCATAGTCAGCTTTTGGGCCAATCGTGGAAGGCCGACCACAGCGACGCTTTCGGTCGCGCACGTCGCCAATTGCAATGTTAGCCAAGCATTAAGGGGAATTCTGGGATATGTGCTCCATGCGCCGCACGTGCTGACCTCAGCAGTAGTAACTTTTCAAAAGCAAATACTTAAAACAAATGACATCTTGCACGCGCGTTCGTCAGCGCATTATTTGGTTATTTACTTCGAATCTTTTATACGGGCAAGGTGTGCGCGTGTGGCGCGTGGAACACCGATCCCTGCCTTCTCCTTGATGCCTGGGTAATATCTCTTCAACCAGCACTTTTCATCATTCTGGGTAGCTAAACTCGTGGAGCAAAACATTCTTCGCTTTCTGACGTAGCGGGGGGAGCGGCCAAAAGAACGTCGCAAAGTTTCCTCCTCCCTGCGCGCTCTCAACTTCGCAACTTTTGACGAAAAATCCCCCGCGATCCCTAGGCGGTGCACGAGAGCACGAGACAGCGAGGGGAGGCAAGCGTTCTCGCCGCTCGCTGTACGTTGTCTTTGAGCTCTCTAGCGCCTACAATCCCGTCATGCCTCGCCCAGGCAAGGAGCGAGTACAGACGACGAAATTTCGTCTGCTACAATGCGGCATTCGTACAGCGGAAGTGAAAGAAAAAGTTGGTTTTCTGCTCGAAATCCCGTCCCGCGGACCACAAACTCAAATGCGAGCTTGAATTATAAGCGTCTGATATTTCACGAAGGGAGGAATCGACGGCCCGTGTTTTATTTGCAAAATTTGAGTCGTTTTGTTGCCGTACAGACGCTGAAACCTAGCAGTGTGTAATGAAAGGCCCAGGACAAACACAGAGGCCGCGAGATCTCGCATCATCTATGTGCGGATGCAAAGTGGAACATTTTTCGACAAAGCTCCCACAGCAGAAATCTGCGACGCATTCACTCAGCGTCCGGGAAGGCTAAACATGGAGACGTTGTCCGAGGCTCAATCAAAGTCATATCTGAACGGCAGTTATCTTGCCCCGTCGTATTTTGTTTTGAGAAAGCTCTCGTTTTCAATGCCCTCACCAGGGAAATAAGAAGTCTTACGAAACGTATTGCTAGATGTTCCAAAGAACTAGAGTTAAGCCGAATCCTTTCAATGGTTCACTCATAATACTATGCTTAAAACGAAGCAAGCTCTTGCGCGTACAGTGCCATCAATTTTCTCAAGTCTATGCTGTTTTGTAGTCAGTTCGTTTCGGAAACTTACGCCGTCTGTAGATATCTTTGACAGCCGAGTTACTTAATTGGAAGTCATCGCAAATATGAGTTACATGTTGCAGCAACCAACGT